ATTCCTCTTACTATAGCAGTAGCGATACCCTTAAACCGAAGAGGGCTTTCCGTAGCCTTACGGTATCTTTATAAACACCTTTTACTTAAGGCTAGCGTTAACGAACGCGTTAACGGTATCGAACTGCCTTATCTGCAGGTTAAATCGGGCGGCGATCGCTATTAGTATACGGAAGGACCGCGCGACTAGCATTACGGCGTAGTTATCTTTAATCTCTAACCGTTTTTATTAATCCCCTCGGACTATAAGGCGTGCCTTACACTTAAGGAGGGTGCCCTCCTTATTAAATTTATAGGTGTATACCTATCCATAGGCGAGGACTTATTACTTATTAGCCTAATTACCACCTACCTCCTACTAATAGCCTATCTATTAGTACCCCTTAAGGTATTCCCCCTCGGCCTATAACCACCGCTCCTATAACGGGTAAAGGCGTATATCACGGTAGTGCTTTAATAGAGGCGGGAGATCCTCGCGGGTCACGTACGATAGCGGCTACGAGGTATTAAAGGGAGTAGAATCTATAGTACCGATATCGCCGTTATTAATAGCTTACTTCCTCGCGCGTATGGGGTTATAAGTCCTACTAGCGTTAAAGAACGCCTTCTAGGCATTATCGTTCTAGACCTTCTCGGTCGTGTATAGACTTATAATAGTTCTCGCGATAGATAGGCGCGCGGATAATAAGCACGCGGCTAACAGGAATATAGCCGATAAGCACCCCCTAGCAGCACCTATAGCTATCCGTTAGTGGTTATCGTATTCTTCTACCTTAGCGCCCCTAACCACTGCTAACGCTATAAGGAACGCGCGCGCGGGATCTTCCAGGGATATTAGAGGCGTGGGAAACGGTTTAAACCTCGTAGTAGTAAACTATAAAGTGTCTATAATAATAGCGGTAGCCTCTCCTATAGTAATAGCGGTAGCATTAGAGTTATAAGGTTCTAAATCTATAGCCTAGATAACTAGGCTATAGATTTAGAACCTCGTCTATAGTAATAGTAGTAGCCTCTCTCGTAATAATAGCGACGGCCTCGCCTTCGTCCGTAGTAATAGCGGTGGCATCGCCTTTACTAATAGTAATAGCGGTAGCGTTAGAGTCTTCCGACTTAAGATCTAATACGTCTACGGCTATACCCCTTAATAGTAGCCTATTCGCGGTCTCCTTAAATTAAGTAATACGGATAGATTATAGGTATTCCCCGATTTCCTCGGCGGAAGCCGTGGCTTATAGCGTTTTAATCCTGCTATTAAATATCTTATCTTCGTTAAAGACTACGTGTCTTATAGTAATAATATCCGTCAGGTATAGCAGCTAAATACGGAAGCTATTCAAGGATTAGTATCCGATATACTAACCGATCTATACCTTCGGTTCTAGCCTTTATAGGCGGTTCCTTTTAGCTTAGGCATCGCGCGTTTTTATAAAGGCTTTATAGCCGTATACTCGTAGGTGCGTAAGGTTAGGTTAACGGCCGCGCAGGCCTTCGTATAGCATTCGCTAGTCGTTAATATATCGTGGCGTTCTATGATATAGATATATAGCAGTCTTAAAGATCTTAGGCTAGATAGATATAGACAGATTAGCTCTAATCTTTATAGCCCTTGCCTTTCTCTTAATAATACCTTTAATCCGTTCTATAACGCTATTCTCATCCTATAAATATAGTGCCGACGGCTAGCCTTCCACCCCCTTAGTAGCGAGGAAAGTAACGACTTCTGGGTGCTAAAATATCTTAGAATCGGCCCGTAGAACGCGTGGCCTAACGTTAAATTAGGTCTTAAGCAGGGTAAAAACATCCTTTAGAGTGTGTAGGATAGAGCCTTAGTCTCTCTTCTATAGGTAGTTATCCCACGTATAACCTATATACACGTCTATAACGAATATAATAGACTTATATAGTCCGCCCGCTAATTACTCCGCCTTTTCTAGATCGTGAAAATTAATAGTTAGGGCCTCACCGGGCTTTAACGGGTAAAGGGATAGTATCCGCCGGATCTGCGTAGACACTTACGATTACGCACACGCGTTATAGTCCGTTATACGAGGTCCCTTTATCTTCACCCCCTAAGTAGCGTCGACGATCTTTACGAGAGTATCGGTGCCGTAATAGCCGAGGCGTTTATACTACCGTTATACCATGGTCTTCTACGGTTACCGCGGTTATCGTGATCTTCTATACGGGTTATCGCGGGGGTGCCTTACTAAGACCGCGAATGCGGTGGCGGCCGTGGCTTCCGCGCGCTCGATTATATACTAGCTATAGATATCTAGTAGCTTATAGATAGGCCGGTCGTCGGCGGAGCTAATAATAGTGTCGTTTACAGTATCCTAGCGGTAACCTTATAGGCGTAGCTAGCGTTCCGAGACGATATTAGTGACGAATTGATTATAGTATATAATATTACGGAGACGTAATAGCCTCTTCGTGCCCGATAGGGATTACACACGTAGCTTAACGTCTCTGTATCCGAGGATAGGAGCCTTATAAGTACCCACCTAAATCGTTAATAAATTAACTATAGGTAGTCTAACGGCCGTAAAACGGCCTCGATTATTAAATATATAGATTAACGATCCTAAGTCTAGGATCGCGCAGTATAATAGCGCTCTAACTTAGTTAATAGAAAGGGATATCCCCTATTCTTATTATACTCTTAATAGTGTTATCGTACGACGACGCGCTACTCCCTAGGTTAGGGGGGCTCTTAGTCTCCCCGTCGCGGTAACGGACAGGTCTTTATAAACTATAGTAGTAGGCATAGTATGATAGAGTTAATCTTCCTAGACTTCCTTTATCTTATTAGCGGTAGTAGCTACTACTTCCCGCCTTTTCTGTATCGCGGTATCCACGCGGCTTTTAAAACTATAAATACGTATCTTCTTTTCCGCGACCTTTATAATATCTTCACGGCCACGCTAGGTATAAGGGCGTATATCCGGCCTTACGTACTAATAGGCGGCAGTGGTATAGGTGTTCTTATATATCTCGTAAGGCCTCCTTACTATAGGCGGGATAGCCTTTACGGACGTGTTACTATAAGGGCGCTTCTTATTATTATCGTTATTAGTAGTATCCTTAGTATCAGGGAGATTTCTAAGGGTATTAAAGGTGCCTCTCCCCACTTTAGGCTTTATAGCAGTGGATTATAGACTCTTTATATTACTAAGAACCGCCTATAGAGCCTTTACGAAGTCGTTAATTATTAGTTCGTTTTCCGTAATCTTATCGTAGTTATTTACTAGATAGTTATTACTCTA